TCAGTACTCATCACAGAAAATAATATCAACTTTCTTCCCATTGGCAGCCCCTGCACAGTAGTTTCAGCATGTTGAAACATATAGATGTTGGTCTGTAAAAGTGATAACCTCCTTGTGTATTTTTCCACAGTGACAGGCTACTTTTTCATGTAACTGAAACTTAATGAAGACATGATATATTTGTTCTGCGTGTTAGGCTGGGGGTTTTTAAGACTGCTTTTGAGATCGCTCACATACACCTACCCATAAACCCTACATCTACCTCATCTTCCACTGTGCAGTTCAGTCAGGAGGAGGGAAGAAATAAAAGCAAAAGGCAGAGGATGCAGACAGACAAGTATACCTCTCGCATGCACCTTCTTCAAGTCAGCTCAGGTCATAAAAGGATAGAGGCAAATGATTACTACTTGCCCAATGATATCAACTTTCCTGACTTGGTACTGCAGAAACCTGTTTTGCCTTATCTTTGTGAGTACACTTACACAGAGTTTCTTTGAGTTTATTCTGCAACACGTTATATACAAAGAAATAAACAGAACTGCCATCTTAGTAAGAAAGCATTTTTGATGGATTAATAACTATATATTTAACTACAAGGCTTTCCTATTTTGCCATATGCTGCTATAATCTCTGGAAGAAAAATAAGCAGAACTTTGTATGACCAGGTCTATTAATTTCAAATTCACTGCCTGCAACTGAAGCATTAGGGAAAAATTACTGAATTTTTTAAGATGAGGACTACATCTGTAATGCAAGGGTTTACTTCCTCAGATAGCAGCATGTGTTGAAGGCAACAATTTAACCATAAGCAGAAGGAGTTCCTTTCTGCTAGGTTTGTGCAAAGCTAGTCCGTGCAGTAGGATGCTGCAAGCTAAGAGCACGTAGCACAGTGTAGTCACTGTGTATGAATGGAGAATAAGATTAGAGCCCGACTTAATGTCTGTCAGCTTTCCCTCCACTACAAAGGACAAAAGTGGCACCCACTCGTTCCTGAACTTTAGTCCCTTTAGTTCTTTCTGAAGTTGCTCAAGACTCTTCCCCTAACGTTACTTGGCAAGTAAAGGTGAGGGGATGTGCTCAAGGTGAGGGGATGGCACGTTCTAGTGAAGCTCTGAACACTTCCAGGGTTCTCAAAAGCAGCTGATATCTCTGAAGGTGAAGTGCTGAAGTGAAGTAATCCTCTGCAATGGAGATGCGGCACCACAAGTTGATCTCCCCTGGGTTCTCAGAGCACTTGAGAATGTTGTTTGCTCAGGCTCTCTTTGAAGTAAAGTGGCAATCCCTTTCTTAAAATAAGAAAGCATTGTATCATCATTTGAAAGGAAGGCCAGCATGATCAGCACTCTGCATTAAGAAAAAAATAAATTCCTCAAATACTTA